GCATTCTTCCTGTGTGAGTGCCAGGCCCCTTCACACCATGGAGTGATGATGATGATTTATGTTCGGGGCTGCATTGCAATATTGATTGTTCGGATCATTGGTATCTAAGTCTTCCGCTACGCTATCGTGTACTTTGTGAGAGAGGTCGGTTCTTGTTCTGGTCTGCACCGTTACAGTATGCAACAGTTTGGTATCGGAGCGGACATCTCATTCAGAGGACCCACTCAATCAAGTAGCCAGCTTGCTTGATCTATTGATTACTCATTAGTAAATCAAGTAGGACTTCGTCAAATCTCTGAATTATTTTTTTTTCTCGCAACAAATATCTGAAAATTTCTGATAATCGCATTTCGTTTTACCTGAAAATTTCTGATATTAGTATTTCGTTTTCACGCAACAAATATCTGAAAATTTCTGATAATCACATTTCGTTTTATCTGAAAATTCCTGATAGTAGCATTTCATTTCTCTGATATTCGCATACATAGCTGAAAATTTCTGATGTTAACATTTCGTTTTCTAGGCATATTAGGATAACGATAGAGGTGGTCATATTCTCGGAAACCGGATTTATTCTTTTCTGAAAATCGAATCTCCATTCTATCTCGAAATTTTTTTTGAAAACCGAAATCTTGCGACCAGCATTTCGTTTTAGGCATATTAGGAGGTTGCCATATTCTCAGAAACTGGATTTAGTTCTTTTCTGAAAATCGCATCTCTCTCTATTTCGCAATTTTTTTTTTTTCAAGATCGCATTTTTGTGAAAGCCGAAACTTTGTGGAACCTAGCCTAGATCTCGGTCATAGTACTCTTCTGACATACCTCACTCATAGCAGATCGACAGATTACAAAAAAAAAAAAAGGGGGGGGTGATCCTCTTCTTTTATTTTTTTATTTATTTTAGTCTGTTGATTAGGACCGGGAGGAAAGTATAGCTGGGTTGGTTACCTACCTGCGTTTTCCCTCCCACCCACCCCTTTGCATGCATTCCCGGGTTGGTACAGTGCCACGTCAGCAACAGTGCCACATCAGCAACAGTGCCACGTCAGCAGTGCCACGTTAGCAACAGTGCCACGTCAGCAACAGTGCCACGTCAGCAGTGCCACAGTGCCACGTCAGCAGTGCCCCGCCACCATGACGGGCTCAGTTTTGGGCATGCCAGGCCAACTGGCCAATGAGTCCATTGCCGAGTACCGACAGCGTTTCGAAGCTCAGCTCGCACTGATCGAGGCTGAGAAACAGCGTCAGGCGGCAGCCGAGGCTGCCCACCTACAAGCTGAAGCGGCGGCAACAGCTGAAAAGCAGCGGCTTCAAGCCAAAGCAGAAGCAGATACCCAGGCACGCCACAAGGAGGCCCAGGATCTGCTACAGCGGCATGAAGCCACCAGCATTGAAAAGCTCAAGTTTTCGCATTTTGAAATCTGAGCAGCACAACGACGCAACACCGGAAGAGCAGCACAAGGAGTTCCTGGCCAAACTCGTGACCCGGTTGGTTTACACTTGTAACCACCTGCAGTCCGAGCTGGCGAATCTCCGACGGGCAATGCAGAACCACAAGGGTCTGCACGAGGATGCTACACGGGCACTTGATTCCCGTGTACAGGACTTGGAGCAAGTTGCACCAAGACCAGATGCTGGCGAGTCCAACAGTGCACCCTCTACCCGCCAATTGGAAGAACGAGTTGACCACGTAGTCGCAATGCTCGGCGACATCAGCACCTTCGCTGCACCAGCAATCATCAGCAAGCAGCTGGACACCTTGAAGACCAAGGTTCAGCAACTGCAGCAGCGGCCCAACAAGGATGGCAACACCCGTGCACAACACTGCAATCAGACTCGTTCTTATTCACACTTTTCATGCATGTAAACAGCAGCGCAGCAAACTGGCGACATGTGCCCACTCAAAACTCAGAGATATGGCTTCCAGATACGAGTTCACTTTTAAATGGCTATGGCGACTCAGCGCCCAAACAACTCACTGTTCACACACACCGGATCACCCTGGATATCCCACACGCGTCACTCTGAACACTCGAACACACACACACACACACACTTCCAACTAACTACAACTATGGCAGCTATGGCTGCCTCTACCCTATCGCTATGCTAACTCCGCCTCTCTCGCCCACTGCGTCCTCCGGGCTCACTGCAGACCTCCTTGCACAAGTCGYTGTGGCAGCGCTTCCGCATGGCTCACGCARGAATCAATCAAAGGCTGGGCGCTGCCTCTTGATTTATACTTCGGAAACTCGTTGGTCTGCCCTTTGCCATCGGCCCATGGTGTGCACAGTCCCCCGTGGTACTTGCTGSACCGAACTGGGACTGACTGGACCTTACCGCTGACTGTTTGTGGACTCACTGCTATCCTACCGTCGCCGTACTGCGATTGCAGTGTAGTTCAGTCCACCACTTGCTTCGCCACTTGACCACTTGCCCACTTGCTGACCTTCTAGAAGGACTACAGCTAGACTTCTGGAACTTGCTAAGACTTCTACTCTATAGACGTACAGATCGAACTCCTGTTGTTTATGGGCCTACGACAGACCTACCAACTGTCTACGAATACACAGGTCACAGGTTCTACTCCCGGGGTCTACACAGATACTGTACATGGGTAGGGTGAGGTCTAGGGATCGAGCCCTGGGTACTGCATCCGCTACTGCTAAAAGGTGAATACCGTTTCACTCCCGCCGTCCTAAATTCGAGGTCCTCCGAGAATATTTCAGTCCAAGGCAGGACCTTTACCCTTCTTGTCGCGCTCGTAGGCTCTGACTATGTCGGGAGCTGTCTCTAGAAGCTCTGTCCTTGTAAGCCAGCGGTCGTCTTCCGGTTCCTGATAAGCAAACCGGACCTTATACTGTTTTTGGGGACGACCTCTACCTCCTGTTCTGAACGCATCCTCATCTACAATGCCGTCAATGTCATAACTCCCATCCATATCCGGGGGGATCACGGATCTTCTTGAAGGGAACTGTTGACTTGTGGCACACGACAACAACTTTGAAGCATGGAACACAAGGTATGTGTGGAGGTGTGCTGGGATCTCTATAGTGTAGGACGGTCCATCCTCTCCGCCCCTGACTTCTAGAACCGACCACGGTCCTCTATACGCAGGCAGTAACTTCTGCGAGATGTTTTCTTCAGGTGCAAACTCTTTTGCCTTGACCCAGACTAAGTCGCCTACTTGAAACTGTGATGGGCGACGGTGCTTATTAGCCTGTTCTATCATCCTATGCTGGGCCTTCCGGAGGTTCTCAACAACAGTTGCTAATTCTTTCTCGTGTTGTATCACAAACTCCCTGGTACCGGGCGGTAGCCTGTGAATCTGATCCCGGTTCAGTCCTTCGAATGGTCTGCGCGGCCTAAAGAACTTGTGCAACTCATTGGGAGTGCGACAGGTGGACAGATGCACGTTGTTGTTGTATGCGCTAGCTACCTTGGGCAACATCTCGTCCCATTTGATCTGATCAGGTCTAATGTACGTGCGCAGAACTTGCTGTAGGATCTTGTTCATCTGTTTCGTCTGACCGTTTGTCTCGGGATGGCGGCCAGACGACATCAACAACTTAGATCCGTAGACTCTCATGAGTTCTTGCCAGTTCTGCCTGGTGAAACAACTATCTCTATCACTAACTATTGACAATGGGATTCCGTTCTCACTAACCCAAAAGTCAAAGAACTTCTGTATCACTAAATCTGTGTGTGCCTCTGCAGGCAAACGAACAAAAACTGCATACTTATTAAATCGGTCAACTATGACCATGACTTGGCTTTTGCCATGTCTGCTTTTGACTTGGGTGTCCATGAAGTCTATGGACACTGAGTCTCCCGGCTAGGGGCGCGCGTGTAGTAGTCTTATTCCTCTGGCACACTTTACAACTGCGAACATACTTTATGCAGTCATTCTTCATTCCTGGCCAGGTGTACGCACACATCAGATTGGCTAATGTCTTTTGCCAACCAAAGTGTCCCTCCGTGTCATGGCATTCCCCTAAAATCAAACTGCGGATCTCTTCGCTGTTGGGAATGCACAGGCGGTCAAATACATTAGTCTTCTCAAACAGTAATCCCTCTGTAGTGCGGTAATCTGGCTCAGTCTCTGGGGCCTCTCTAACTCTCTTTAGGAGGTCGCTATAGATAGGGTATTGCGCATACGCTTGCTTCACTTTCTCCTGCAGGTCTCTCCCTATATCCAGATAGTGTACTATGGCTCCAAAGTAGTCTGATCTCCTACTCAGAGCATCCGCAACTACGTTGTACTTGCCTTCCACTGGCTTAAGCTCAAAGTCATATTGGTCTATCTCTGCGGCCCACCTAGTCAACTTAGGTGTCCTCTTGGCCTGAGTCTTTAACCATCTAAGTGTTTCATGATCAGAATACACTTTGAAGTGCCTCCCAAGCAGGTAATGCTTCCAGTGCTCTAGAGCCTACCTGAGAGCGTAGAATTCTCTCTCGTACATTGAGGTGGCTGCCTTCTCTGAGGGCATCCTCGCGGACATGAACTCTACTGGTCTATAGCCATTGTCGTCATCCTGCTGCAACACGGCGCCTATTCCATACTGACTTGCGTCCGTGGTGACGACAAATGGCAAGGACGGATCTGCTACTTTGAGGACAGAGTACTCTATTAATGCACGCTCCAGTCTTTTTAGCGCAAACGTACAATCTTTGTCCCATTGCCAGATTGCCTCTTTCTTAAGCAACCTGTGCAGGGGAGCAGCGATAGTGGAGAAGTTCCTCACGAACTTCCCATAGTAGTTAGCTAAGCCTAGGAACGACCGCAACTCTGTCAATGTGCGGGGCGTCAGCCAATCTCTAATCGCCGCTATCTTACTGTTCTCTGGCTTAATGCCATCTCCGTCCAACACGTGGCCCAAGTACAGGACTTGTGTCTTGGCCCACTCGCACTTCTTTGCGTTGATCTTGAAGTTAGCCTCTCGTAGCTTCTCCAAGACCTGCCTCATAGGACTCTGGTGCTCCTGGAGGGTCCTACTGAAAACTAATATATCATCTAAATAGACTACTACAAACTTGTCTAACCATGGTCTAAACAGGTCATTCATACAACGCTGAAAGGTGGCTGGTGTGTTGGTAAGTCCAAAGGGCATCACTATGAACTCATAGTGCCCGTATCTAGTCCGGAATGCAGTCTTGTACTGATCATGAGGATGGACTTCTATTTGATGGTATCTGGACTTCAAATCTATCTTGGAGAAATACTTACAACCCTGCACCCGTTCTAAGAGATCGTCTATCCTGGGCAGTGGCTTAGCATTCTTCACAGTAATCCCGTTCAAACCCCTATAATCTATACACATACGAAGCTCTCCTTCCTTTTTGGGGACAAATAAAACTGGTGCTCCAAAAGGAGACGAACTGGGCCTGATCCAACCTTTCTCGAGGAGATCGTCTAACTGCTTGCGCAGCTCCTCTAACTCCCTAGTGGACATCCTGTAAATTGCGCCCTTAGGAGTTCTACTGCCAGGCTCTATCTCTATCCTGTGCTGGATGGGTCGCGACACTACTCCTGTCGGCTACTCAGTCAAATCTTTGAACTCTTCCAGCAGCTTGGCAATCGTTGGATCTGTGGAAGTCACCTCTTCCTTAGCCTCAGTGACAGGTCTAACATAAACTACAAAGACCTGGTCCTCTAACTGCTCCTTCTTCACTAGTCGCGCGAACGCGGGAGCACTGAGACAACAATGTGCCAAGGTGTTGTCTATACCTGACACATGAAACAGGTGGGCAGTCTTAACCTCGCCTGACGGGCTAGGGAGCCTGCACTCATGCTCTCTCAAATGGAGTGTGGCCCCTGCTGCCTCTCCCCAATCCATCCCTAACACTACATCAAAAGACTCCCTCTACGTAGTCCTCAACACGCATTGTGCGGTTGTCTGCGAGGACACTGACTATGGGGTCTGCCAATTTCCTAGCCTCAACTTTTTCAGCGCTCTGCGGCTAATATAACTGCGGGTGGCCCCTGAGTCTATAAGGGCCCCTACTCTACTCCTGAAAACTTCTACATCTACCAAGATCAGTTGTCCTTTACTCTCTTTTATCATCTTGGCCCAGGTTGGCATCCTCTCCTTTAATTCTTCTGCCACACCTGTGAGGGACGTGCCTAAAGAGACGCTAACACAAGAGTCTCTGGACAGCTAGCTAGGCACGGGCCTGCAACCTCTGCCATAGGCTCATGTGGGTTGGGAGTGTCCTGTTCGTGCGCGCTCACTTCTCCACATGACCTTAAAGTAGGGGCAGTTGCAACCCCTACTGGCGGCTGCCTTTTGATTGTGGGGCAGCCCAATGGGCCTGTCTATACTGTGGACAAAATTTAATTACGTGGGCCGGGTCACCACAAAATACACACTGACCCAGGTTCACGCGTTCCTGCCATACGCGTTGGTCCAAGCCCAAGTCTTCCCAGGGCCTGCCCTGTGGCAAACCTGGGTGCCATCCTCCTTGAGGTGCCCTTCCACCTCGTCGCTATGGGGACCAATTGGAACCTTGGCGATTTGGCGGGGGACCTTGACCCCTACCTCCCACTTGGCGGTTTCCTTGTCCGCCAACCCCCTATGCGCCCGGTCCTCGGCCTCCCATGGCCTGGCCCCTTTGGCCCTGGCCTCCTCCTCTATCCTGCGGCCTCCCTCCAGCCGCGACAACAACATAAGACCTCCCCTGTCCCACACTACTGTCCTCCTCCTCTAGGCCCCACTCAATCTGACTGTATGGGACCTCGTCAGTACCACCTTCTTCTAAAGTAAGGATCATGTGATCCTTGGCCCTCACCTGGCCTGAGATGGTACGGCCTTTCCACCTTTTTCCCTTATCCAGGTCCTTATGCCAGAAAGTGGTAACTGGCATGGACCTTGACTCATACAGGACGACTTCTCTACTCAATGCATCATAAGTGATGCCGTCCTGTTGAGATTTGTCAAAGTAATGCCCACGCAGGGCCTCTGGCATGGCACGATAAAATAACTGAACCAACTGGGGCTCAATGACCCCATGGTTTGGGACGGCTACCAAGTTGTCCATTGTACCCTTGAGTGCCCTTGCACTCCTCCACTGTCGTGAGTGGATCGTCTGTAACTTATCAGAGGCGCGAACGCCTCTCGTTGGGTCTGTGAACCGCTCCTTCAGGAGCTTGAGGAATTGAGAAAGGGGGGTGACTTTTGAATATGCAACCAGGTTGTTTTCACAACCGGCTGCGCGCGCAAGGGACCTGGCAAAACTAGTCGTCTCATCCTTGAGGGCCTGGAAGGCCACGAGGACTTGTTCTTCTATCAGGATGTGTTGTAGATATATATAACTATTGACACTAGCTTCCCAGTTGTCAAAGTTCTCTTCCTTCTTCCCTCCATAAGCATCTGGGAACTTGAGCTTTACGGGCTCTTTACGGGGTCTAGCCTCGCCCTCTACAGCGGCTATCGCTTTGGCACCTTCAATGGTGCCCTCACTGAACTTTCCGACATTGTCTCTCAGTTGCTTGACTTCACCCCCAATGTGGGTAATCATATCGCGCGCAAAGTCCCTAAACCCCGACCGCATGGCACTCAAAGCTACCTCTTGGCTCCAACTAGCCCGGCGCTCCTCCATCCAGGCTTTGCTCAGCACCTCCAGGTACCCTAATACCTTATCCCATTTGGCCTTGTCATCTGTCTGGGCCAACACTTCCTTCCTACACTCCTGCACCTTTGCCACCTCTGCGGTCAGTTTGTTCACTTCCTCTCTCCTCCTCTTTTTCTCCCTCTTCATCCTCAACTTCCATGCTAACTTCTGCTCCTCCTCCCTTTCTCGTCGTTCCATCGGATCTCCCATTGCTGCTAGCTCATTGGCCAACGCTTCTCTCTCATCCTGAGTCACATAGGACTTTGCCTCCTCATCTTCTCCCAATGATAAATTAGCAACCCACTCACTTATTTTCTTCTCCATCTCTGCGTTTGTGTCCCTCTTCGTGCCACTACTTCCCTCTCTACTCTCAATACGCATTCTCTCTTTTTCTTCTTCTTCTGCTGCTTCTTCTTCAGCAGCCTTCTTCTTTTTTTCCATCTCCTCCTCCAATTCCTTCATCTTGGCCGCCTGCTCCTCTGTGATAGTCTTTAACTTCGCCTGCTTCTCGTGCTCTTTCCTCTCCCTGTTCTCTTTCACTAAGGCGGCCATCTTTTCTTGCTGCTCCTTGGTATAGGGGCTAGTGTCTATCCCACTACGGGTCTCAACCATGGTGACAAGTGCACAATCAGCACGATTCCACTCCTCACCAAGTAGACTCTGACCCCTGACTGACAAACCTACTGACTCGATCTAAGGATTTACAGAATCCTGATAAGGATCCTGCCAACTATGGTCTCTAGCCTAGACCTAACTATGGCTGTCACTACTAGACCTGTTGCTGATCAGGAGGCATTTAAGGAGATCCCCCGAACTCCTCAGGAATTATTTAACGTCGCAGACAGGACGACGCGATCAGCAGGTCTCTCAAGACTTAGACGGTCTGTTGTGCAGCCCACAACTCGGATTTCGAGGCCTACCGTGCCACACCGAGCAGCCCGCCGGTCAATACCGGTCCTTGGGAGGGTTTGACCTCCGGAACAGTCGAGTCGTCAGACACAACTTTTAGCCCTACTCATCCCTTGTGGGTTTGGTCAACAAGACCCTATCCTTCATCCACAGAGTACTATCACCTAGGACAGAAGAGACTCAATGCAGAAAGAATAGACAGACAGACTGGACTCAGCAAGTATCAAGGGGTGTGTGCACATCCATAGGGCGAGGGATAGGCTGAGGGTTTGGCGAGATGTTACCAACTCCAGCTTGGTCAAAGTCTTGGTCAACGCCTTGGTCAACGGCCTTGGTCAACGCTGCTATCAGCCCTCGGTCAACCCCCGATCAACTCCGGTAACCGCCGGTCAACACCTCCGTTCAACCCTCTTGGTCAACCCTCTTGGTCAACCCTCCGGCCAGCTATGGCTGCCGGCTCCTCTTCCTCGCCAACCCTCTTCTTCCTTTCACCTTCCTCACCTCCTTTCACCCCGGCTGTCTTCTTCTTCTCTTTTTTTTTTTTTTTTTTTTTGATCGGCCCTCACTTCACCTCTCGGCTATAGCCTCCTTCTCTCCCTTCTCGGTCTCTCCGCCTCTGTCCAGTCTCTCTCCCTCCTTCACTACTCCGTGATGATGCTCCGCGGCTATGGCCGCTTCTTCTTCCTCCGCGTGGGACTGCACAGTCCGCTTCACAGGTACGTAACAACCAAACTTGCATCACTCATCTCTCTCTCTCTCGCCGTAGCGGTATCTTCAGCGCAACAGGTACGTAGTAACCTTACTCTCTCTCTCTCTCTCTCTCTCTCTCTCTCTCTCTCTCTCTCTCTCTCTCTCTCTCTCTCTCGGTCTTCTTCTTCGTCGT